GTACTTCGGAATCATCTTAACTAATAAGGTGAATGACCTATACAAAGAAAATTAAAAACACTACTTCAAGAAATAAAAGAGGACATTAGTAAATGGAGACACATCCCTTGCTCATGGATATGGAGGATTAACATTATCAAAATGGCAAAACTGCCCAAAGCACTATAAAAATTCAATGTGGTTTCTATTAGTATACCCATGACATTTTTCAAAGAAATAGACAAAACACTGCTGAAATTAGTATGGAACAATTAATCCCCACGAATAGCTAAAACAATCCTTGGGGAAAAGATGGGTGGCATCACCTTACCCAACTTCAAACTGTATTACAAAGCAGTAGTAATTAATGCAGCATGGTATCGGGCTAGAAACAGAACTGCAGACCAATGAAACAGAGTCGAATATTCTGTCACAGACCCCCAAATATTTGATCACTTAATCTTTGACAAAGGAGCAAGAAATGTGAAGTGGAACAAGGAAAGCTTCTTCAACAAGTGGTGCTGGGAAAACTGGATAGCTACCTGCAAAAAAAAAAAAAAAGAATGAACTCCGACCTCTGTCTAATGCCAGGCACAAAAGTCTGAACAAAGTGTATTAAAGACCTCAACATCAGACATAAATCCATAAGGTACATAGAGGAAAATGTAGGGCAGAACCCTCCACGACATTGAAGCTAGAAGCATCTTTAAGGATGAAACAGCCCTGACCATGCAAGTGGAATCAAACATAAACAAATGGGACTACATCAAACTAAGAAGTTTCTGCACTTCAAATAAAACAGTGACCAAATGACCAAAATACAGAAAGAGCCCACAGAATGGGAAAGAATACTTATCCAATACCCATCTGATAAGGGGTTAATATCCAGGATATACAAGACACTAGTAGAACTGTGCAAGAAAAAAACCTCCAACCCCCTTCCAAAAATGGGGGAAGAAATGAAAAGAAGTTTCCTCAAAAACGAAATACAAATGGCCAAAAGGCACATGAAAAAATGCTCCACATCACTAGCCATCAGGGAGATGCAAATCAAAACAACAATGAGATATCATCTCACACCACAGAGACTGGGACACATTCAAAAGAACAAAAGCAACCAGTGCTGGCGTGGATGTGGGGGAAAGGGGACACTCTTTCACTGTTGGTGGGAATGCCCACTAGTCCAGCATTTCTGGAAAACAAAATGGACAGTCCTTCAAAAATTAGATATTTAGTTTCCATATGACCCTGCAATACCACTTCTGGGAATGTATCCCATGGATGCAAAAAAGCACAGTAGAAATGACATCTGTACCTATATGTTCATTGCAGCACAGTTCACAATAGCCAAAATCTGGAAACAACCCAAGTGCACTAGAACAGATGACTGGTTAAAGAAACTTTAGTACATCTACACAATGGAATACTATGCAGCTCTCAGGAGAGATGAAGTCATGAACTTTGCTTATAAATGGATAGACATGGAGAGTATCATGCTAAGTGAAATTAGAGAGGGGCAGACATAGAAGGACTGCACACATTTGTGGAGTATAAAACAACATAACATGAGGTTGACACCTAAGGATAGTATATACATGGGACAGATAGATTCCTCCATAGCTGGAAGCCTCCCCTGCAAAGGGGAGAAGGCAGCTGGAATAGAGAAGGGATCACTAAGAAAAATATGGCTGGATAAATCGGTCTGGATGGGAGATGTGTGCAGAAAGTAGATAAAGGACCAAACATGATAACCTCTCAGGGTCTGTATTGCAAACCATAATGCCCAAAAATAGAGAGAGATTATGGGGAATCATGTCGGCCATGGAGGTAGGGAGAGGGTGGGAAAGGGGGGCTATGCTGGGGGTATTAGTGGTGGGGAATGTGCACTGTTGGAGGGATGGGAGTTTGATCATTGTGTGATTGTAACCCAAAAATGAAAGCTTATAACTATCTCACGGTGATTCAATAAAATTAATAAAAATAAATAAATGTATAAATATGCATCTAAAAAAGAGTGGACACTATGAAACCCCAAAATGAATAAGTTTGCAATTTCACAGTGAACATTTTTTTAAATAATAAAAATAAATGGGGCTGGAGTGATAATACACGTGTTTGTCTTGCATGCGGCTGATCCAAGTTCAATCCCAGTAATCTCTGGTCCCCAGAGAACAGCCATGAGTTGAATTCCCAAGCACAGATTTCAGAGTAGTCCCCCACACTGCTAGGTATGGCCCGTGCCCCCAATGGAAGTTCCATGTGATCCAACAATACTACTTTAAATCTTTTGTCGGGAAGTTAGGAAAATAATATTAGGAAAATAATAACTTGAAAAATCTTTACATTGAAAGCATAACAGTATTATTTACAATAGCCAAAATATGAAATCAACTAAAATGTCCATCAACAGGTGACTACATAAAGAAGCTGTGGTAAATATTCTCAATGAAATGTTACTTTGCTATTAACATATGAAATTTGGGACATGGGGAAATAGCTCCAAACACAGGAACACATTTCCATGTACTAGGCCTATGCCCACATTTGATTCCAAGCACTTTATAGTTTCAGAACTCAGTTGTGTGTTCTTATGGTGGTCTCTCCCTGTCTGATCTCTTTATGTGACCTATTTGCCTTATAGGAACTCCTCTAATTTTAGAACATTTTTATAACTCTCAAAAGAAATCCAAACACCCATTAGAAGTCACAAGCTATTTCTCTCCCCAAATCCTAGGCATCCACTATTGTCTTTATAGATTTTCCTATTAGGGCAGAGCGATAGCACAGTGGGTAGGGCATTTGCCTTGCATGCGGCTGAACAGGGTTCGATTCCTCCATCCCTCTCGGAGAGCCAGGCAAGCTACTGAGAGTATCCTGCCCGCAGAAGAGCCTGGCAAGCTCCCCGTGGTGTATTTGATATGCCAAAAACAATAATAACAAGTCTCACAATGGAGATGTTACTGTTGCCCCCTTGAGCAAATCAATAAATAATGGGAGGACAGTGCTACAGTGCTATACATTCAACATATATGCATTATATACATTGCCTATTCTATACCTGTAAACAAATGGTATCACATATATGGTCATTTGTAACTAGATGGTAATTTTCATTCCTTAATTCAGTATTTTGATTCTTATTTTTTGGTAATCATTCTAGCTAAATTTTGTTGATATTTTCAAGTAACCAACTTTTGGTTTCACTAATTTCAGTAGTTTTGCTATTTTCAATTGTTCCACCCTTCTGCTTGCTTTTGGATTGTTTTCTCTTTATAGTTTCCTAAAGTTTAAAGTTAGGGGTTTTTTTTATTTGTTTTTTTGCTTCTTTGTTTTTGGGCCACACTCGGTGGTGCTCAGGATTTACTCCTGAATCTGCACTCAGAAATCACTTCTGGCAGTGCTCAGGGGAATAAGGGGTGCCAGGAATCAGATGGAACCCGGGCTGGGGGAGTGCAAGGCAAGTGCCCTATCCATTGTACTATTGGTTGCGGGAAGGGGTGGGGTGGGGTGGATGGTCAGTCCCTTCTGTGAAGCAGGAAATGCAAAGCACACATTCTAGTTCTTTGTGCTGTCTCCCTCAAGATGTTTCCAATGTTTTTTTTTAAATTTATTTATTGAATCACCGTGAGAACAGTCACAAAGCCTTTCAGTTCAAATCTCAATTGGTCATACAATGATCAAACACCCGTCCCTTCACCAGTGCACATTTTCCAAAACCAAGAACCCCAGTATACCCACCTCCCACCCACCCCCGCATCTGTGTGGCAGATTTCCACTTTACTCTCTCTCTTTCTATCTTGATCACATTCAATATTACGACAAAAGACCCAACATTGTTATTTGGAATTTTCCCGAACATTCAGACCTGCCACAAAGACATCATTAGATAATTTGTTTTCTATTGCTGATTATGAAGAGCATATGATGTCGTGTGGCCACAATAGCAGCCCCGCGAATTTGGATTTCTATGCTTCTTGTGATTTTTTTCCTCCTTTGACCCTTTGTTATGTAGGAGTGAGCTAATTTCCACATGTGCTGCAATTTTGTTAACTTAAGTGTGCACCAGGTGTCGATAGGTTAACCAATTTCCGTTATTATTTATTCCACTGCAATCAAAGAATGTTATCTCACATGATTTCAGTCCTTTTTATTTATTTGGGGCCACACCCAGCGATGTTCAGGGGACCAAATGGGATGCCAGAGATCCAACCTGGGTCTACAGCGTGCCTTACCCAGTGTACTACCTCTCCGCCCAATTTCAGTCCTTTTAAATCCTTTGGGGTCTGCTTTACGAATATTTAAGAGAAAACGTTTTGCGTGCACTTTAGGGAAAAAATTAGATTTGATATTCGATGCAGTGTTCTACAGCTGTTAAGCATCATTTATTTTTGGCTTTGGGGACCAAACCCGAAGGTGCTCAGGGATTAATCCTGAGGGATTTGGGGGACTTTATGGGGTACGGCAATCAAGTCACGCGCAAGGCAAGTGACTATTTGCTGTTGTAGGCCCAAAACGATTTTTAATATAGGTTTTTAAGGCTAGGTTATACTCACTAAAGGAGGTAGATTTCTTTATTCAGGAAACATTAATCTGTTTGTTTAGGGGTGGGAGTCACACCCGGCGGTGTTTAGGGTTTACTCCTGGCTCTGCACTCAGGGATCGCTTCTGGCGGGCTCCGGAACCATATGAGATACAGGGGCTGTAACCCAGCTGGACCGGGTGCGAAGCAAGCACCCTACCCTCTCTCCTATAGATCCAGCCTCTTCAATTTGTATATTTATTAAGTTCCCTATATCTTGTTTTCATTGTACCATGGCCCACACAACCTCCACTTTGATTAAATTATTACATGTGAGTTACTGCGGCGGTGTTTTAGTGGCTCTGATACATTTTCCTATAGTTCTAGACTTGCTGCCTGGTTCGAGGAAAGGCGAATCTGCACTCTTGGGCTCGGCTCTCGGCTCGTTCGGTCTGGGCTGTGCTTCGGGAGGATTGGGCGCTGTGAGAGTCACGTGGGCTGAGGCCATAATGGCGGGCGCCAGGGAAGATTTGCAAGCGCTCTTTGCAGCTGGCGTTCGTGCGTCGCTGGAAACCTGGCCGGCTTTGCAGGTGAGTGCAATCTTTAGAGATAAAGGTGATGGCCTGATGCAGAACAGCATCTGTCCGGGGGAGCTTCTTGGTGGTCGGCTAGGCGGCCCACGCTGTGTATCTCTGTGCCATCATGAGCTGGTTCTCTGGATGACGTGTTGGGGCTTGGGTGGTCTCTTTGCAGATCGCCGTGGAAAATGGCTTCGGGGGTGTGCACAGCCAGGAAAAGGCCGTGTGGCTAGGGGATGCAATAGAGGAGTACTTTATCCGCAATGGTAAGTGAATGTGAGCTGCTGTGACCTGTCTTTGTGGAAGGGGGGAGGGAGGAGAAGGAGCCAGGTCTTGGGTTGCCTGCACTTCCTCTTGAGCAGTTATGGGCTAGTAGTGAGGGCATGAAGTGAATCCAGGGTTTGAAATCAGAATTTGACTTTTCAGTCTGTGCCATTGGTTCATCATCACTCTGGACAAGTTATTTTACCACCCTGAGATCCAGTTTTCTATTCCCTAAAATGGGTATCAGAGTCGCAGTACATATCAATTTGGCCTAGCCACATTTCATTTAACCACATTTGGCTATGTAGATGGCAAAGATCTATTCCTTTGACTTGTCTTGAGGATCGTAAGTGGATACGGGGAGCTGAAGAAATACTTTTGCATTGTATGAGTTTTACAAAACTCTAACATTTTAGTCTTGGTGTTGACTGGCAGAGTTCTTTTACTGAAGGAAGCTCAGTTTCTAGTGAAGAAATCCGAATTTCCTCACAGGGCAATAGATGTTACCATTTTTTTTTGTTTTGGGGGCTGGCAAATGCTCAGGGTTACTCCTATCTTTGCACTGAGGAATTACTCCTGGTAGTACTCAGGGGACCATATGAGATGACAGCAGTCGAACCTGGGATGACCGCAAGCAAGGCAAGTTTCCTACCGGCTGTATTCTCTCTCTCCAGCTCCTAGGTGTTATAATTTGTAAAAGAGAGCTGGTTCTTTGGGAAAATGTTAGAGAGGTGTGATTGGTTTGAGTTTAAGGATTGAGGAATTTACTCCCAAAAAGAGTAATACTCAAAGTAAATTCTGTGATAAGAGGTTAATGTTATATTTGGAAGGTGATAAGGAACTCAGTATTGAAGTAAGGATATGTGTGAGTGATTGTGGGTTTGTGGAAGGAGTGATAAAGATTGTAGTTGAGGGGCGGAGAGATTCTGGAAAAGGATAAGACAGGAAAGGCCTTATTTGCTTATGTATGTGTATGTGTATGTGATGCTGAGAATCAAGTATGTGAAGCATAAGCTTTACTACTGAACTACATTCCCAGCTCTAAGTAACTTTGATTTTACCCTTTAGGCCAGTATTTGCCAAAATACATGCTAAGGAAGACTAATTCCATTTAGATGTTCAGTGAAACAAAAGTTTCACTGTTTCAAAAGTTTGCCAAATAATGCAAGAAAAGTTTTTCTTCGATTTCTACTTGAGTCAGAGTATTTATTAACATATTAAAAGTTTCGATATAAACAACACTAGGTAGTGACTCCGTAATGATCAGTGCAGTTTTAAAAAGAAGATGTGCAAACACCCTGGCCAGGAAGTGTGAATTCTGGCAAACTCTGAGCACCACAGTGATCCCCAGTTAGCGCCATGGAGATTTGTGATTCCTGGCGAGCACATGCACAAGCTGTGCAACTAAAGGTATGTAATCGTTGATGATCCTTAGTCCAGTGTGCCAGCACTGCAATCTAATGTGCATCTTCTGGGGAGCACCACAACCAGACATATTTGCAACTCCTGGTCATCATCACATCAAAAACAGTGAAGGATAGGGGAAGAGGAGGGAAAATATAATATATATGTAAATATATATATATTTAAAAAAACAGAAAGACCTGTTTACCTTTTTTCTCATTATCTTTTTGGATAGTTTTGTGAGTGGTAGCCCCAGATTCAATCCTCAGCACTACATGGTCCCCCAGGAGTGAGCACCAAAGTGGAAATAGCTCCTTAGCACCACCAGGTGTGGGCCAAGCCCAACACCCCCTAAAAAAACAGAAGGACTGTTCTCAAAAGATTATTCAGTATCACCCACTGCAGTGGGTGATCGACTAGACAAAGATGAGGAGACTAGTTTTTCTTGAAAATGATTAGACATAAAGTAGGGCAGTGGCAATGAGGATGCAAAGGAAGCTGTGTATTTGGATCTTGAAGATTGTCTGAAGAGGGTGAGAGAAATGGAGCTAGGTTTCTGATTCAGGTCGCTGGGATTAGGTGTCTTTTAGGAATTGGTAGAAATTGAATGAGTTTGGACAATACGCTGATGAGTATGGCTTTGTATATGGAGGATGTAAGTGGTGGTTTGAGGCACTTGAGTGAAACAAGCTGAGAGAAGTCCGGATTGAAAACAGATTTGGAAGCTACTTGATTCAAATGGGAAGGAAAGACAAAGGGATTAATGAGTGAGCAGGAATGTAGCACGAATGGAAAACTTGCTTGAGTTATTCTATAATTCAGAAAATGTAAAGCATGAACCTATTAGGTGACTAAAAGTTCAATGGAGAGACTTCAGCCAAAGGTTTACACCACAGGATGTTGATATTAAGGCCATGAGTTATTTCATTTTGCTAGTATTTATATCTATTTCTTAATAGATACCCTTTGGTCTGTGACATCCTGAATCAGTGAAGCCATAATTGTGAAGGGTCTCTAAAGCTTTGAGTCATGAAAATTAACATAAATTTGTGGTTTGCCTTATGCTGAGCATTTGCCAGAGTTCTCGTAACAGGCCTTCAAGGAAGCTACCTAGATGAGGAAACTCTTTCTAGATGAGGAAACTGAGGCTCAGATATGAGTAAGTTGCTCAAGGTTACATAGGCCACATAAGAGGGTGACTGGCACTGTATGTTGTGGGAATAGAGGACTTGGTAGAATGCAGGCGATTAGTAATTATAGTGTTTTTAAAAATCATGTTAAAGCCTGTAATGCAGAACAATTCAACAAATACATACTCACTGTTTAGACCTTTCCTACCAACCACATATGTGTGCACCACAAGTGATAATGAAGTGTAGCAGGTAGATGTGATGAAGCTGTTTTTGGATCAAAGGGTCCTATTCTTCCCTGCTCAGATGACTTGGAGCTAGATGAAGTGGAAGACTTCATTGGGGAACTCATGACCAATGAATTTGATACAATTGTGGAAGATGGGAGTCTGTCCCAGGTGAGCTATATGGGTACAACTGCCATCCCCTTGCCTGCAGTTTTTCTTTTATCTGTTCTGAGCCAAGACTCTTGACTTTAATCATTCTTTTCCTGAGTCCTGTGAAAGAACATTCTATGACTGGGAAACTGAAAAATTCTATGAAAATGTGGTCTTCCCAGGCCTTTCCAAACTTTACCTCTTCTCACCATGTAGGTCAGTTCCTCACTCCCATCCAATGACAGGTCGAGTGTGGTGCAATACTGCCCCTTTCCCAGTTAACATTGCTCTCCCTGATGGATATTGCCTTCCCACTTATATCTTCCATGTTTCAAAATTCAGTTCTAGTATCTTCCCTTCTTGTAGTGCTTCAAACCCTTACCTGAGCCCTCCTTAAGTGGTTGCTTCACTAGTGAACTCTTTCTGGAAACATATATTCTCCCCTCCCAACTTCTTGCTGCAAATATGAAGGTTCTCTGGAAAATCTTAGCTGGTTTTCTTGGTAGGTGAGCCAGCAGCTGCAGACAATGTTCCATTACTTCCAGAAGGGTGATGGGGCTGCTCTGAGGGACATGGTCTCTCACATCATCCAAAGAAAATGCAGGGTCAGAGCCACCACACTTACAGCAGCCAAAGACAACGATAATGACGTGGACAGCGTGGAGGAGATGGAGGTGAGGGGGGTACCCTTGGACCATGGGAAGTAGAATTTTCAGTGTACTAGGAGATTCTTTAGTTTAATATAGAAGTGATGGGTGGTGGTGGTGGTGGTGGTCATATTACAGAGAGGTGACTCCTACACTAACAAAACTAGCAACTAATCCTGAGAAAACTGGGAGAAGATGAACCAGCGATAGCACAGGGGTTAAAGCACTTGCCTTGCACGCAGCAGACTCCAGTTCGATGCTTAGCATTGCATATAGGTCCACTGAGCACCTTCAGGAGTCACTTCAAAGCACAGAGCCAGAAATAGCACTAAGCACTGCTACGTGTGGCCCCAAAGCAAAATACTGGGAGGAGATTGGTCTCCAATGTCTATAGTTAGGAGGTGTTATGTTTAGCTCTCTCTGCTATTTCTCCTCCAGGTCACAGCTACCAGTAATGGAGAAGCTACAAATGGGTTATGTTCCCAGCCTGACTCCTCCAGACCAGACTTTGAGACTATTAAGGAAGAAGATATAGTGGAGGATGGCTGGACCATTGTCCGAAGAAAGAAATGAGTGGAACTGGAAATGGTTTGGGCTCTTATTTGCTGGTAGTATTGAGATAGTGAGAGTTGGGGGAGGGTTGTAGTTCTCTGAACTTGTTATTCTATCCACACTGTCTCCCCATTTCCCTGTCTAACCCCTCTCCAGGGGAAGAAGAGTTCTTGGGGTTGTGGTCTCAGGGTCATGAGGCATGGTTTTCCAGCACAGTAGGTCTTTGGTGTAATCAGTGTCAAGAGGGAGAGGGTATGACTGGAGAAGCTCAAAGCTGGGTGACAGGTTGTGGAATTGCAAAGGAAGAGGACTAGCAGGAAAACCAATATCATGAGCATGGCAACAGTAAATTGGTAAAGGATGTGAATGATGCTGACTGTGGAATGTCTCTATTTTATCCTTTCACCCATACATATCCACACAGCAACTCTGTATCCCTTCCCAGAACTTGTAACCCGCTGAACACTCCTTTTCTTCAGTCCAATTCCAGTATTGAGTTCCTTCAAGACATCTAAGACCTTAGCTAGGTTAGAAGGTCTTTCTGTTTCTTCCAGTCTCTTTCCAAACTCTTCATTTCATCCTGCCCACTCCTAGAGATAAGGTTTAAGATTTCAATAAATGCACTCTGGTTTCATCTGTGACATGACCTTTGTGTAGCCTTGGAATCAACCTTCAGGGAGCTGTGCTTCAGAGCTCAGTGAGGAAACAGTGTTTGGGCTACCCATACAGTCTGGTACTTTAGACAAATAAAAAATGGACAAGTGGAACACAGAAGCACTTTGAAAGTTTCCATAAGCCTGAAACAAACTGTATTTTTTCTTTAAAAAAAAAAAAACAAAAGTATCCATTGTGCTACCCCACCCCACCCTTGTTCCCCTGTCCTGCCCATTGGCCCTGCCATGGGTTTGGAGGATAAAATACTGGGTAGCCTTGGGGCTGGGTAGAAGCTGTAAGCAATGGGAGAGGCAGGAGAGGTCTGGTCACCACCCAACATGAAGACACCCGCTGAGGGCCAGGGGTGGGCCAGGGCCATGGGACAATGGCAAAAGCTGGCACTTGAATCCAGGTTTCTGGCCTCCATTGCTTTGAGGGAAGTTGGAGGCAGGAATCTGTAGGGTGTTGAGAGGATGGGGGAAATGGCCTAATTCAGGCAGGTCTAGTAATAGCACCCACCATTTCTGGATATGTGAGTTAAAAAAATTAATATCACTGTAGTAATACTTTTTTAAAAGCCCACATTTTGTGAAAAGATGAGTTAAAAAACCCAGACCCAGCATTCAGAATTGAAAGTGCCCATGATGGGAATTCAAGTATTGACTGAGTTGGGAGTGAGGGGTCTGGGCCCTTATGGGCCCCCATGGACATGGGCAGTTAGAATGTAGGGTATGAGGGTCCAAGTTACCCCCAAGCCCTTTAGATTTTATCTCGGGTTCGGGGGATATCAGGGGGTTCAACAGTGGCTCCTGAAGCTGCCACTGATGCCTCCTCCATTTCCCTGTCCTCAGACAGTGTGGGCCCTGGGCAGAATGTATCTCCACGGCCTGCCCGGCCCAGCACTGCCATCCAGCGCCGCTGCAACTCTTCTGTCTCAGGACTGAAGTACCAGCTTAAATGGCTCTGGGTGATCTTGAAGACGTGCCTTCTGTCAGGCCGCTCTCCTGCCTCAGGAGGCCCCACTTCAAAGCCGATGAGGGGCAGGCTGCGCTGAGCTTTCACATCCTAAAGAACAGACAACTGGTGTTACCCTGAGGCTGGGCTTCTCACGATTTTGCATCTGTTCCTCTCCACTATTTTCAAGTACCTTCCCTGGCTCACTTATTATGAAAATGTATGAACTGAAAATGTCAGCCTGCTAGAATGAAGACTAATTCAGTAACTGTTTCTCACACACCCAAAAACGACTGAGCGGCTAGTCTCTTAATTTATACCAAAAAAGTTATTCAGTCCTTTCTTTGCAGCTGATTGCCCCTATTTGTATATTCTTTACCATTCTGTACTGGACCTAGTTGTACTCATTTTCAAGTAGTCTGCATACTTGCACTCCCTTTTATTCCGGTTATTTCTCTATGTGTTAACCCACAATTACTCCATGTGTCTTATTGGTCTTTGCTCACAAGTGTGGGCTATTTTATAATTTAGGCTCACCCTGTCCAAGGTAGGGGTGAAGGGGGAGGAGGGCCACTTAGTTTTGCCAGACCCAAAGGAGTAGGATGCACACCTGAGGGGCCCCATAGATGTACAGCACCAAGGGTTCATTCTCAGGGACCACAAACCAGGCCTTGTGCCAGCCTTTCCCGCCCTTCTCCATGTAGTGCAGGAAGCTGCAGATGACGCTGTTCTCCGCAGCTACTGAGGCCTGTTTCTGTAGCAGAGATATGAGGGGCATCAATGTTAGTAAAAGTTCTAGCCTGGCTTTTCTTGGCTTCAACATGTCCTCAGCATATATTGCCATTCCTGTTTCTCAGATGATGCTGGAACCCAGTTGGCAGTGTGATTTTGCCAGTGCCACGCAGTGAATCAGTTGAGATCCAAAGTTGGCTTTGACTGGCTCCTGCCTATAGGAGTTGGTAGAAAGTATGTGCAGTTCTCAGTAAATGCAAGAGTAGAATTCTTCCACCAATCTATTTCTTAAGCCAATTATGCATTTATACCTCATCTTTTCCAACTTTGATCACAAATTATTCTGTACACAAAGTAAGAGGCAATGTAGCATTGTGGTTAAAAGTTAACTTTTAACCACAGGAGTGATGTCTGAGCATAGAACCAGAAATAAGCCCTAAGTACTGCCAGGTGTTTTCAACCCCCGCCTCCAAAAATCCCCCAAATTTAGCTTGGATGGAGAGTAATCTCTCGGTATAAGAACTGTGGTCTTACGTGTTTATTTTCTACTTTTCCGCATAGTATGTATTCTACTTTGTAATAAAAATGATAATTTGTTAATTGGAGCTCAGGAGAGAGCTCAAATTGCTAGAGCATATGTCTGGCATGTGGAGTTCCCAACTTCATTTTAGGGTCCCCAGAGCACTGCTTGTTGTAGCTTTAGTGGACTGCAAGCACTGTAGGATAGCCCTGTTGAACTCCTGATCTGATATCACCAGGCCTGAGCACTGAACTGTCAGGCCCACATACCTGGGCCAAATATCACTGGGAGTGGTCCCCTGAGTGCTATTTGGGAACTCCCCTGAAAAATATAATTTGAATTTTTTTTAATTCCAGGTCTGACTACTCATTGGTTGTGTAACTTAGCCAAATAAATTCTCTTGGCCTTAGTTTTCTTATTTGTAAAATAGGAAAAGTGACAGATTAGTTACTGTGTAGATTAAGTATCTAAATGTGCTTAAATAAAATGTAATATTTTTTATTCACAGTCATTTTACTCTGTGCCTGGATTCAGTGAATATACTTGCCACTGTGTGGTTTCAGGGATGCCTAGCCCTAAATCACACTCGGTGACTGGCTGGGGCCCATGGAATTGGTGTAGGAGGGTTAGTCCCAGGCCTGGCTCTTACCTCCAGAATGGACCTCCGTCTTTGGGGTGTATGCTGACTATAGGCTGGACTGCTCCCAGATACCCCATGCAGTGCTACATAGCAGTCAGTACACACACGGTTAGAACGGTTGTTGTCATAGACGAGGCGGGCCCGGAACTCAGAGCACTTTCCACAAACTACCTGGGGTGGCACATAGGCAAGAACAGCTTGATTTCAGTGGATCTCCCCCCAAAGTGTACCAGCTTCCACAGTGTTCTTATAACCAGCTCCCACTCTGGAGAGTGGCTGCCAGTCTGCCCCCTCCCGAGTTCTACTTCTGCCTCCCAATACTCACATGCCCACAGGCTTTGCAGTGGTGCCTGCGTTTGGTGATGGAATTGAATGGCTCCTGGCAGCGCATGCACATGGTGACTTCCTTTTCTCGTATGGGTGTAGGTGCCCGCTTTCCAAGATCCACATTCTGGAGAAAGGGTCAGGTCTCATGTAAGAAATCACTTTTCTCAGCCCAGTACAGCTAGCTAAAAGGATCATCAGGGGGGTGGGGGTGGGCCACATATCAGAGACATTCAGAAAACCTGCTTTTGAGTTGTGGCTCTGCCCTAGATCACTGTGCTATTGAGGACAACTCTGTTCTCTCTAGACCTTGTTTTCCCCAGTGATTTCTCCGCCGCCCTACCAACAGAAGACTTCTCTGAGGTCATGCATGGTCTGTCTTTTCTTTAATCTCTGGTAAGAGGAGAGGAGCATCCCAAGTAAGGTGACAAGGCATTAAAGGGCAGAAGTGTTTGTAGAATCTTACTGGAGAATTAGGGGGTGTATCTTCCTCGTCTCTGTTCGTTGAGTTCAACAGTTTGAAGGTTTCTAGTGTCTGTTCATGCTTTAGGAGGGTGGAGTTGATTGCCTGGGGAGAGGTGTGAGAAATGAGAGATTAGACAGTCCCACCTCCCACAATTTCCATCCTCACCTCACCTTTCTACAACTAACTTAGAGGCAGAAAGTTTCAGTTTCTTTATTTCTAGAAGAGAGGAGGTTAAATTGTGACTAGAAAACCTCAGAAGGCTTTTCTGGCTACTGCCTGGGCCTAAAATTGTATGACTTAATTCACTAGGATCACCTCTCGGAGGAACCAGCTTTCCAAAGGAATTACATGTATCTGCTTAACCTCTGGATCCCAATTTTCTTAGCAGTAAAACAGAATGAAAACGTTTGTTAAAAAGCAAATATATAGGCCCATTCTGGTTGTAGGTTTCATAGGAGGTTCCACTAAGCCATAAACCTCTTAACACAACCCCTACCACAAAACCCTTCTTGTATGTTACCTGGACCCAGTCTTTCTTCTCTTCCTCAGTCCTTGGGGGAGGAGGGAAGAAAAAAATGTTAGGTTAGGCAGGGCAACCAAAAGCAAATGGATGACTAAAGTGCAGGTGTTTTGTAGTTTGATCCTCTACTCCTTCATGAATTACTCACAAGACCAGAGGCAAGTTATTTAACCTGTCTGAATTCATTTATTCAACAATTTATTCAACAATATTGTCTGGAACAATACCTTCCAGACCCTGGAGGAACTTAAGTCTCAGAGAAGACCTTACCCTCAAGGAGCTCATTGTCTAGTGGGAGGGACAATCCAGGAGGATCGGTGCTTCACAGAGTCAAAATACATCTGAGAAGTCCAGAGGAGACCTGCCCAGGCTGGATTTCGTATGGTAGCTGCTAAAGAAGATTTCTTCAAGGTGTTAGGTCTCAGAGAAGTATGGGTAAAGTATGTGTAAGTATGAAACATATAAAAAACCAGAAACAGTTCCCTGTTGCTACAGTGTTAAGTTGGAGGGAAAAAAGCTGATTTGTTATGTTTTTATTTGTAAAATAAAGGTAACAATTACCAATCTAGGTTGTTCTGAGTAGCAATCAGGTGTTAAGTGTTCAGGTCTTCGTTTCCAACTCCCCTGTTTGCCTGAAGTCTCCAGGGCCTCTTTGCCTTGGCACTGGGAAATGGAACCTAGCAGCTTATTGAACTCCCACCTGGCTTCTTCTAATCCCCCTTCACAGCCACATTCCTGATAGCAAAAGTACTTTTTTCAATAGGAAGGTTTCAGAACTAGTTCATGAAAAATTAAGAATGTGAGTTAATATTTAGCCATGTGAATATTCACTGCAATGCTATTTATTGTAGTGAAAAACTGGAAGCTGCAGATGAAAAAAAGAGAAATGATGCTTCATTACTGCCAGAGAACATTACTGATGAAGAAAGATGCTTGTAATGTTAAGTGAAAATAACGTATATAAAAATAAATGTGATTCAAGTGTTTACATTTGTCAAAAATCATGGTACCCCTTGCAGGTGGAGAGATAGTACAGTGAGTAGGGCCTTGCATGTGGTTTACCCTGGGTTTGATCCCTGCCATCCACTGTGGTCTCCCTCTGAGCCCACCAGGAGCGATCCCTGCATACAGAACCATGTTTAAGTCCAGAGCACTGCCAGGTGTGAACAAAACCAAAAAGTTAAGTTACCCTTAAGACCTGTGCATTTACTGAATAAAAAATTTACTTCAAGGAAAGGAGGATGGTCATTGGCACTGTTAAAAAATGTTCCTAGAATGGGACCTTGGGCTTAGTTTAAAGAACTGTAGTACAGGCCTTGCATGTGGAAACCTCAGGTTCAATCCCTGGTACCACATGCTCTCTAAAGTATTGCTGGGGATCCCCCACAACCAAAAAAGGGGAAAATTCCCCCCCACCATATTTGGTGCCATCACAGTGGTGTGTGTGAATGTCTTGGTTGATGCCTCAAGAACCGACAATGCCAAAAAAACATTAGATTTATATTAGGTTGTGTTGTTCTAAAGTCACTGTTTAGTTTGTAACTGTTATGATGAAACATACTGGTACTGGTGAATCTGAAATCACTGATGATAAAAGAAATGGGGAAATTGTTGTGAATCTCAAAGGCAGGTTAAATAAGTGTGGAGTGATCAGCCCCAATTTTGATGAGCAACACAAATATCTAGCAAAAACAAAATAACCTGTTCCCATCCAGTTTAGTTTTATTGTATGGACAATCTCAATTGGCATCACAGACTATGAAGAGGCAATATAAAACAAACCAGTGGGAAAATCCCAAGATTATTCTTTAGTAATGTAATATGAACATGCAAATAAGATGCCTAAATAGAAAAAATAGGGCAACGGTCAATAAATATTGAACTCTAGGTAATGATATGCATGTGAAACAAAGATCACTTGGTGATTGAAACCCAACCATGAATAGTTTTGAAACTGTATCTCATGGTGATTCAATTAAAAAAATCCAGAACCCAATCACTCTCATGCTCACGGCCAATCTCCATGGGCTCGAACAAGCCTCATCCATGAGTGAGTCTGTTAAAAAACTCAGGTATACAGGTTTTGTGACGAAATCTCCAGGCTCTCATGGAGTTGGAGGTGGGCGACTTCCCCACATTCCCCTGTTCTTCCAGGACCCTGGCAGTCCGCCCACAAACTACCTTTGGCACCGTATAAACTCATTAACCGACATATAAACTCATTAACCAGCCATGATCCAGAGACTCATAAATAAATTTTGGAAGAGGTCAACACGCTGCAGAGATGCCTCAGACCACAAGGTCACCATTCAGTTAAATTTTTTTTCAGTTAAATATTTAACCTCAGCTGTATCAACTTATTTAAAATTTTAGAATTACTGGAGGGTGTAGCAGTGTGACATCTCATACTCTATACTACCGATGTACCAGGAGTAGCACACATTGGATAGGATATAAGGTAGAAGGTAACCAATCTCAATTAAAAAAGTATCATCCCACAAGGCTCAGCCTGTAACCTTGTATAAGAGAATTCTTATAAGAGAATTCTCTTATACAAGGTTAGAAATCTCTGAAAGATTGTATTCATCTGGGGAACATAAAGCAATAAAATGGGAGACTAACACCCAGGAGTGGCCGAGATTAGTACCAGGAATTTTGCTCCATGACTTGGAGGCCAGCCACAAGTACTAGGGGAAAAGGAAGCTCAGATAGAGAAGAGAGCACCAAATAAAGGGTGTTGGGAGGATCCTCCCAGGGTGGGAGAAGCATGCTGAAAGTAGATTATAGACCAAACATGATTGCCACTCAGTGCCTCTCTTGCAAACCACAGGACCCAAAAGGAGAGAGAGAGAACAAAAGGGAATGCCCTGCCACAGAGGCAAGGTGGGATGGGGGGGATGGAGGTTGGGAGGGATGCTGGGACCGTGGTGGTGGAGGATGGGTGCTGGTGGAGGGATAGGTACTTGATCATTGTATAACTGAAACCTAATCACAAAAATGTTTAAGTCTATAACTGTACCTCATGGTGTTTCACTAATTAAAAAAAAAAGATGGAAACCCACAATATCAAAACTATAGGACTTATTTCAAAATTTCACCAATATGTCAGAAATCATTTCAGAGTTATATGACTCATCAACATTATTATTATACAGAATTTTCCAATGCATCATATGCTCTACAGAGAGGCTAATTAAAATAAACATTACTTAGAATAAAAAAAAGAAATCTGTTAGAAATCTCTTGTGTTAGAAATCTCTTATACAAGGGTTCAATGGCTCCAGAATGAGATGCAACAATCTTCACACACTTTTTTCTAAGAAAAACTTTTTTGATCATTTTTAGAGAATTATTCATAACCAATACAAAATAAATTATTTAGGGCCTGGTATTGGGGCAGGCTTGTGTGGTGGTTGGGAAAATTCAAAATAGAGTTGGTGGGTAAGGTGTAATTGTGGTGTTGGAATATTGAATTTAATAAATTATTGTGAACCTTATAAAAATAAAAATTTTAAAAAACCACAAAGATCATTTGGTATAGTGATGTCTGCAATTTAAACATCATTAAAATATCAAATGATGGATAAAAGCATAGATTTGTAACAAAGTATATATAGCAGTGTTAACATATGTAGAATCTGTGGTGGGTTTATGGGTGTTTACTGTACAAATCTTTTGTTTTGGGGCACACCCAGTGGTATTGTGGGCTTAGTCCTCGATATGCACTTAGAAATCACTCTTGATGGGCTGGGGGAACCATATAGGATGCCGGAATGAGCACAGGTCAGTCACATACATGGCAAATGACCTGTACAATCTTTACACTTCCCTATATTTCAGTATTTTCTGCAATAAAATATGGGGAAAATGTGTGTTTTATATGTGTGCATATGTATACATATGTGTGTAATAAATATACATCTGATAGAGAAAAGTCCTGAGAGGGTTTCTGCCAACATGTCAGTACTAGTTATCTCTGGGTGGAATTTTCTTTATTCTGATTGAGTTCTTTTAAAAATTATTTTGTGTTTTATAATTTCTCTGCAGTGAACAATGCTTTTCACTTTCAAAGTCACAATAGTATCTTTGGTGATGCATGCTAAACTACATAGGGACAAAGAATCCTATTCATAATTTACTTTAAAATGGCTCAACAAATGCTAAATGTGGCAAACTATCAATAATTGTTGATTCTTAAGTCAGTGGTCCTAAACCTTGTTACACAAATAAAATCACTCCTCAGGTTCAGGCTATGTCCCAGACAAACTAAATCAAAGTCTTGGGATATGTCCCAGACATCACCATTTTTTAAAACGCTCCCTAACCTATTCCAATGTATTGCTGTATATCAATTAAGAACCAGCTGGCTAAGAGGCAGGCATATGGGTGTCTGTTATATTTCTATTATTCTGGATATATGATATTTTTTTCATTATTTTTAAGGCAATATATATGTATACACATATATGTATATGTATAGCAAACCCGCCCCTCTGCCACTTGGAGGAGACTTCAAACTAGTTAGTTCTCTACAGCCTCCTCTTTCCCATTCTAGCAGACAACTGTCAAGCAGGCGGCTCTGCTGAAGCCTGGCTAGACACCCACATATGCCTTTCCCTGTAAGAGTCAGCCCTTTGATCTCCCTCCCTCTCTCTTCCTCTTTTCAGCTGCAGGCTTCAAAAATGCCCTGAGTCTCTTGGATTTTTCACACTCAACTCTCAGCTCAGCTAATGTCTCCCAGGAGAACCCTCTAGCCCATATTTCTCTTTCCCGCCTCCATGTGTAGTCTCAGAATAAAGGTTCTGACTTATTTTCTCAGTACTTTGCAGTATATCAGAAACAGGTCATCTACTGCTCTGAATTCATTCTTTGGCCCTGACCTTGATATCCTATCACTTGAATCCTCAGAAGACATCAAGAGCTCCAATCCCAGCTCTCTATTCCTTTCTAGCTAGGAGATCTTGAGCAAGGAACATAATTCTGTGCCTCAGATTCCTCTGTAAAATAGGATTGCTGGTAACAGTAGCTATTCAAAAGTTGTTTTAAGATTTCAGTTAGTTTAAATATCAATTGCTTAAGCTAACATTAACTTAAGTGGTCACTGTGCTGTTGGAATATTTTATGCATGAAACACTATCATTGACAGTACTATGGCTAGAGAGATAGTACAGCGAGTAAGAGACTTGCCTTGCATGCTCAAGGCCACTCTCCACACGTTCGGATGAGCCTCACAAATGAACCGGGAGAGGAACCTAGGTATGCGGGACCCGTGACTGAGATCAGGAGTGGGTCCGTGCTTGGATCAGGACTGGACCTCTTCCATTTAGATGCCCCATTTAAAAAAAATTTATTAGTGAAACACCATGAGGTACAGTTGTAGACTTAAAAATTTTTGTGCTTGGGTTTCAGTTATACAATCATCAAGTACCCATCCCTCCACCAGTGCCCATTTTCCACCGCCACGGGTCCCAGTATCCTTCCCACCCCCATTTCCCCCATCCCACCCTGCCTCTGTGGCAGGGCATTCCCTTTTCTCTCTCTCTCTCTCTCTCTCTCTCTCTCTCTCTCTCTCTCTCTCTCTCTCTCCTTTTGGGTGTTGTGGTTTGCAAAAGAGGCATTGAGTGGGATCCCCCATTTTCCAGTCACACCCATAAACTGCCCCTGGCGCCAAGTAATCTCATCAATGGCAAGATCCAGAGACTCTAAACCAAAGCTCCAGGAAGAGAGCAATGCAGTATTTCCTGTATTTCTCCCAAAAAGCCTCCGTCCCTCTTGGAAAGCCTGGCAAGCTACCGAGAGTATCTCGCCCGCATGACAGAGCCTGACAAACTACCCGTGATGTATTTGATATGACAAAAACAGTAACAATAATGGGCCTCATTCCCCTGACCCTGAAAGAGCCCCCAATACACCGTTGGGCTACGCTAGCACATGACACGGACAAATGGAGACGTTACTGGTGCCTGCTCGAGCAAATCGTGCAAATCGATGAGCAACAGGATGACAAGTGATACAAGTGATTGTGATGCATTAAATTTTTTAAAAACTAAAACAAGACCAGGGAGAAGTTCAAAGGGCTAGTGGGCTAGTGTATATGCATGGCAGAGGCCCAATTTTGATCCCTGGTATCACATGGTCCCCTGATCACCACAGGAAGTGACCTCGAAACACCAAGCAAGGAGCACCACCTTAGTACTACTATTGTGGCCCCCAAACCAGAATAAAATAGCTTAAAACAGTGCCTGTCTATGCTGGAGACATAGTAAAGCTGTAAGGCACTCAGGTGCTCAGAACATGGTACTACCCAGAGTCAAGACTAAGCTCTGTGCACTGCCCTTGTAGCCTCAAAACAAACAAAAAAGTGCCTTCACAAGACCAAATCTTTTTTTTTTTTTTTGTTCTGGGCACAGGCTTACTTCTTGCTCTATGCTCAGGAATTACTACTGGCGGTGCTCAGTGGTGCCTGCAATTGAACCACGGATAACTAACTGCACACAAGGCCTTAATCCCTGCACTATTTCTCTGCCACCAAGACTTCATTATATGTTAGATATTATAATCATCCAAATAGAGGCTAGCTCTAAAATCCACTTTGCTAAATTGTTGGGCATTATATGAAAAGCAACCAGGATAGCACAAATGCAATACATATAGAACGACTTTATAGATGCCCCAAAGTAACATTTTATCATAGTTATTTCTATATATATGCTAATATATGTACATATATCTGTTTTCTATGCATATACATATATATTCCTTTTGGTGGATAATTTAAAAATAAATTTTAGATATGGTGCTATTAAATGCTTGGCATGCCTATTGTGATAGCTGAAAGGAGCAATAATTCACCTTTTATCTAAGGCTCAGTTCACATTCAGGTTTTCCCTATTGTCTTATAAATGTCTTTTAGTGCTTATTTTTTTTTATCAAATTAGGCTCTCATCAATGAGTAAGAATTGATTTTGGTTAGCATTTTCTTAAATCTTTGAAATCTATAATACACCATTTGTGTTGCTCTTATTCATGTTCATATTAATATTCCATTCTTTCATCTCCTCTAATAAAATCCATCAGAAAAGCAAGCATTCATCTATGGTGAAATTTTTCTGTCATAACTTTGGAGCCATTCTTCCCTAGAGAGATAGGCTAGGCCTACAATCCTTCAGTGTATTCTTTCAGATACAACAAAGGACTGGAAGGAAGTAGAGGTAAATACCTGGCCTGGAGCTCCAGGGAGCGCTGCTTTCCTGACACCAGAAAGGTCCGAGGCAGATTGAGGTTGGAGCTTTCCTTTAGCTGAATGGAGAAAAAGGTACACTGAGTTCAAAAGGACCCTTCCCTCTCAGGGTCAGAGTAAGAATGCCTTTGCTCCTCATCACAAAGGTCCCACTTCAGGTCCCTCTTTCCCGCCTTCTGGTGCTTACCTCCATTCCATCTACATCAATGCGTGCCCGCACGCTAAACTTCTGGCCAAGGAGCCGCAGCCTGGGCACGCAGTAAAGGAGGCGGTCGTTGAACTAGGAAGAAAAAGGTTTGATACATATGTGTGGAAGATATGGGGTGGTTGGGGTTACACTTTTAGTCTTCATGGAATCTTCACTGCTTCAATATGTGGAAACAACATAGGCCAAAAGCCAGAGGAATCCTACAGGACATGGCACTTGGTCTTGTATATGCCAACTTTGATTCAATCTCCTGCGCTACATAAGGTCCCTAGAGTACCAACAGTACCAACAGGAGTGACCCCTGAATACAGAGCCAGGAGTAACTCCTGAGCACCACTAGGTGTGGCCCTACCCCGCAAAATAACATAGCCCCTATTGAGAACAAAGTTTGCAAAAAAAGCCTAGGTATGGGGAATCACTTCCGAGTTGGGTAGTCAGTTTTTTCTCAGTTAAATTAACTATAGAGGGGTCAGAGTTATTACAGCAGGTAAGGCACTTGCATGGGGCTGATCCAGCTTTGATCCCCAATACCACATATAGTTTCCCAAACCCCACCAGGAGTTATCCCTGAACACAGAGACAGGAGTAAGCCCTCAGCACTGCTGGGTGAGGCCCAAACCACGCCCCCTAACTCCTCCCCCCCGGCCCCATCCTAAACAGATGAAAAATTCCTAGTGTTGGGCCAGAGAGACAGTACAGGGGTTAAAGTGATTGGCTAGCATGTGGCTAATCCTGGTTTAATCCCCTGCATTGCAAATAGTCCCCTAAACACCACCAGGTGTGAACCAGGAACAGAGCCAGGATAACTCCTGAGCAGCTCTGGGTGTGGCCCAACTCCTTCACCCTATGCCACCCCAAATTTTTTGTGTAGTAGTGAAAATACAATGAGTTAATATGGAAGTGATCATTAAGAGGTAAATATAAAAAATGATCAGATTAATTTGTCAGTGAGGGAGCAGAGTCTACCCACAACCCCACACATAGCACCTACTAGTATGAGGTATCGGTCTTGAGTGGTCCCATTCTTGGCTGACAGCTTAAGGATATGGCCTTCTTTTATGAGCTCTTTGGTAGGGCTAACAATGTCTTCCTCACCCCCTAACAGCTCATACACTTTCAGCAGCTTGTGCATCCGTTCCTGGCAGGAGACAGCAAAAGGCAGGGTTGTGGTATTGGCCTCTTCTTAGATGTGTGTGAGTCATAAGTTCTCCCCAGAACAGAGATATCATAAGTAAGCAGTCACAGAAGGCAAGGGGCTAAAAGGGCCACTCACCATTTTGCGGATGGCAGCGTTAGAGTGTTCTGCTGCTGTGGCTATCAGCTCCAGAGACTCTACAGACAGACAGTGAGGAGTCAAATGAGATAGAAAAGAGGTTCTTGGAACTTTCTTTGCTTCCTGAATACCACTTTCTGGTTGACCACTACCTCCCCAGCTCAGAAAGCATAAGTCTCATAGATTCCATAGCAGTATCACTTAAAACAAGAAACTTTCAAAGCCACAATAACAGAATCAAAACACATGGAATAATTGTTAGTGAATAAGATGTAAACATAACAAGATTCACCCATATCTTTAAAAAATTCTGTTATTTTATTAATCAATGGTTTTATATTTTATCTCCTATTTTTTGGTTTTGGGACCACACCCAGCGATGATCAGGGCATAGGGATGCCAGGGATCAAACCCAGGTTGGTCATACATGGAAGGCAGGCACCTTTCCAATGCACTATCTCTCTGGCCCCGGAAAATACCCATATGTAACAAACTATACTGAAAGAAGGGATTATGCATCATTTCTGTTGCCCTCTTTTGATATGATTGAATTTTTCTATATTTCTTAGAGTGAATGTTACTTTTATAATAAATAATATAAAGGAACAAAGATACCCTTTGTCTCAACAATTATAGATATGTGAATCTATATAATTACTATGTATAAATACACTTTCATGAGCTGGGGAGATAGCTGAATGGGCTGAGCACATGCTTTGCATGAGGAAGGCCCAGGTTCAATCTCTGCCACCACTTGGTTGCCTGGGCACTGAAGGGAACAACCTTCAAGCTCAGAGACAGGAGTAGCCTACAGGTACTGCCAGGTGTGGCCACCGAACAAGAATAAACAAAACGAATATACTTCCATTGTTGTAGTTTATATAAAAGTGTCAAACCAGAGACAAAAGTTGTTCAAGAATGAATGTGCATTCATAAAATAATCAATCTTGATAACCTATGCTTTTGTAGGATTTTATAATCTGGGAAATGATTATGATGTTTTAAGGATACAAATGTAAAGAAAATGAACACAAATGTATATATACCAAAGGATCTCAATTTTACAAGTAGACATGTATTAAAAATACCAGAAAGAATCTATGTTTAAATGTTTCCCATGCGAGCCTTGTGGACAGCAGGTATGAGCCGGGGGACTGGGGGCGACTAAAACCTCATGGGAAGGGGGGTGTTTCAGTCCGCCCTTCACGCCCTACCGAGGCTACCAGTTGCCCCCCACGAGCGGCTCTCCAGCACGGCCACGACTCCAGAGCACAGAAACCAATTTCTTAACTATCTGACTTTCAGTAGAAATACTTCCAGGGTCAATAAGTAAAATAGCAGAAATCCAAAACCAACATATAATTCTTGAACCCAGCTGTAGAAAGCAAATCACTTCACAATGCTTTGTCAGCATGTCTGATTCGGGGGGGGGGGGGGTAAACTCTAAATAATAGTGGTGAATCTTTTATTGAAACAATGAATCTAATCAAAGCAGATAGAGTGTTAACTAGAATTCATCTGCCCCACAGGGACTGGGAGGGGTGGGAGGTGGGGTTTTATTGGGGTTCTTCATGGTAAAAAATAAGTTTTGGTAAAGGGAAATGTGCTTGATATTTGCATGACTGAGACCTAAACCTGAAAGCTTTGTAACCTTTCCCATGGTGATTCAATAAATAAATAAATAAATTTAAAAAAAAATGTTTCCCATGCTTATTTTATAGGGTATGGTATCAGAGATCATTTTCCCCCATATCTCGAATTTTCTGTAATTTCCATATTTCCTATAGTGACCAGGTATCACCAGAGGTAAAAATAGAAATAAATCTCTCGACATTTATATACATAAACAAATCACAGCTATAGCTGTACTGTTCCTGACCCTGTATAGTGCTGACTTTCCCACTTAGAAAATATAACTCTAAATATTTAGAGACCAAAGCAGTAGTAAAGTGGGTAAAGTGCTTGCCTTACATGTAGTCAACCCAAGTTCAATCCCTGGCACTCCATATGGTCCCCCCGAGTCCTGCCTGGACTGTTCCCTGGGCAAAGACTCAGGAAGTAAACATTGAGCACTGCCAAGTGTGGCCCAAAAACAAACAAACAAACAAACAAACAAACAAAAGCTATGCTGCCTATGCTGCTGGGCTAAGTTTAGAAGTTTTGCTAGCTAAAAGGGACTATGTACTGCTTTGTAGTACAGTTTGAGGTTGAGGAGGTTGATTTTTCCCATTTTCTTTTTCCCAAGAAATGCTTTAGCTATTCGTGGGTGCTTATTGTTCCATATGAATTTCAGGAGTGTTTGCTCCATTTCTTTAAAGAATGTCATGGGTATCCTTATAGGGATCACATTGAATTTGTAAAATGCTTTGGGGAATATTGCCATTTTGACAATGTTAATTCTCCAATCCATGAGCAGGGGATATCTTTCCATTTCCTCGTGCCCTCTTTTATTTCCTGAAGTAGCATTTTGTAGTTTTCTTTGTGAGGTCTTTTACGTCCTTAGTTAAGCTGATTCCTAGGTACTTGATTTTCTGAGGCATGATTATGAATGGGATTGCTTTTTACATGTCACTTTCTTCTCTCTCGTTATTTGCATATAGGAAAGCCATGGACTTTTGGGTATTGATTTTATAGCCTGCAACTTTACTATACAAGTCTATTGTTTCTAGGAGTTTCTTGGTAGAGGTTTTAGGGTTTTCTAAATATAGTATCATATCATCTGCAAATAGTGAGAACTTGATTTCTTCCTTTCCTATTGAATGCCCTTAATATCTTTTTCTTGTCTAAACGCTACTGCAAGTACTTCCACTACTATATTGAACAGAAATGGAGAGAGTGGACATCCTTGACTCATCCCTGATCTTAGAGGGAAGGCTCTTAGTTTTTCCCCAATGAGGATGATGCTTGCCATAGGTTTGTGGTAGATGGCTTTGACTATATTGAGGAAAGTCACTTCTATACCCATTTTGGCGAGGGTTTTCATCATAAATGGGTGGTGGATCTTGTCAAATGCTTTCTCTGCATCCATTGATATGATCATATGCTTTTTATCTTTTGTTGATATGATGGATTATTTTGATTGATTTCCAAATGTTAAGCCATCCTTGCATCCCTGGGATGAATCCCACTTGGTCGTGGTATATGATCTTAAAACAGCATGGTACTGGAACAAAGGCAGAGCCGCAGACCAATGGAACAGGGTTGAATATACTGACAACACCCCCTGACATATATGATCATCTAATCTTTGATAAGGGAGAAAGAAATGTTAAGTGGAGCTTTAAAGCCTCTTTAACAACTTGTGCTGGCAAAACTGGACAGCTACATGCAAAAAAAATGGGCTCAGAGCTCTACCTAACACCATGGTCAAGAGTAAAATCAAAATGGATTAAAGACCTCAACATCGGACCGGAATTCATAAGGTACATTGAAGACAAGGTTGGCAAAATCCTCCACGACATTGAAGCTAATGGCATCTTCAAAGATGACACGCCACTGGCCAAGCAAGTGAAAACAGAGATAAACATATGGGACTATCTTAAACTAAGAAGCTTCTGCACCTCAAAAGAAACAGTGACCAAAATACAAAGACAGTTTACAGAATGGGAAAAGACATTCACCCAATACCCATTTGATAAGGGGTTGATATCAAGGATATATATACAAAGCACTGGTTGAACTCCACAAGAAGAAAACGTCCAACCCCATCAAAAAATGGGGAGACGAAATGAACAGAAACTTTCTTGTAGAAGAAACCTGAATGGCTAAAAGGTACATGAGAAAATGCTCTACATCACTAATCATCTGGGAGATGCAGATCAAAACGACAATGAGATATCATCTCACACCACAGAGACTGACCCACATCCAAAAGAAGAAAAGCAACTGGTGCTGGTGTGGATGTGGCGAGAACGGGACCCTCCTTCACTGCTGGTGGGAATGCCGACTGGTTCAGCCGTTTTGGAAAACAGTATGGACGATTCTCAAAAAATTAGAAATCGAGCTTCCATTTGACCCAGCAATACCACTCCTGGGAATATATCCTGGAGAGGCAAAAAAGTGCAGTCGAAATTACATCTGCACTTGTATGTTCATTGCTGCACTGTTCACAGTAGCCAAAATCTGGGAAAAAAACCTGAGTGCCCGAGAACAGGTGACTGGTTAAAGAAACTTTGTTACATCTACACAATGGAATACTATGCAGCTCTTAGACGAGATGAAGTCATGAAATTTGCATACAAGTGGTTCTACATGGAAAGTATCATGCTAAGTGAAATGAGTCAGAAAGAGAGGGAAAGACAGAAAGACTGCACTCATCTGGGTAACAGAATAAAGTAACAGAATGGGAGATGAACACCCAAAATAGTTGAGATAAGTACCGGAAGGTCTGCTCCATGGCTTGGAAACTGGCATCAGGTGCTGGGGAATAAGGCAGCTCAGGTAGATAAAAGAATACCAAGTAAAGGGTGTTTGGAGGATTTGCTCGGGATGTGAGATGTGTGCTGAAAGTAGACTATAGACCGAACACGATGGCCACTCAATACCTCTACTGCAAACCACAACACCCTAAAGGAAAGAGAGAGCAAAAGGGAATGTCCTGCCACAGAGGCGGGGCGGAATGAGGGGAGATGGGTGGGTGTGAGGGCTACTGGGATCATTGGTGGTAGAGAATGGGCACTGGTGGAGGGATCATTGTATAACTGTTATCCAAGCACGAAAGTCTACAACTATACCTCATGGTGTTTCACTAATAAAAAACAAACAAAAAACCCAAAAAGACAAGATTCATGTGTTAGTAAGTAAATCCAGAATTTATGACATAACACAAGTAATAAAATTCCAATAATTTTAATTAAAAAATAAAATAAAAGGTACTATGTAAAGTTGTCCTGTGTGGGGTATAGATGGGCACTTCCAAAAGTCCAGTGTGTGAAGATTCTGCCTGGGAATTCAGTATGGGTTGCCAGTCTAGGCTTTCATTAAGTAGTTTACCGTGGGAATGTAATTTGGGAAGTTTGGTGTTCAAGCTTGATTTAGATGTTTTGGAGGTACTGGTTTG